GATAGACAGCGTCTGCCAGACAGCGTCCTGTTCAGCACAGCATTCATTTTTTTCATTTGTTTCATTAGGTGCCGACCAGTCAAAGCCTTTTCCTGAGGCCAGCGACATTGATAGATCGGATTTTCAAGGATTTTCACTGTGACCCTTTTTTTGCCTTGGGTGCAGGGCCAGGGTGGTGGATCGTTGATACACAATCTGGAACTGCCATGCATTTTTTTTTTTTTTTTTTTCACAAGGCCAACAATCTCGTTCGCCTCCCGCTTCGCGTGGGCGAATATCTTCACAGAAACTCGATGCCCTTCAACAGTTCCCTCAGCGGAAACCAGACGCTGTATTACCCTTTAACCGCAATCAAGTCTCACACGGAAATCCTTCCCCCCCTCCTTTATTTTTTTCGAACTGCAGAAACCAGACTGAAAGAACGAGCTAAAAATAAATAAAAAATATGGCTAGTCGTGCATAGCAGCAGAATGCGAAGTCCCGGGTTCAGCATTCCGCGCCTTCATTCCGCGTGACGATGCCCAGTGGCGGTGAGTGGCATGGACGCCACGCACGTGCCGAGCATCATTGAGGGGCGCCGGCCGATCGACGCCGATCTGAAGCGAGAGATTGACAGCGTGTTCTCGCAAACACTCGCTTTGCGCCGGAAGGACTTCCTGGTGCAGCTGCACGTGACACCGCGAGGGCGGCGAAGTCCGCCGCCGGCGTCCGACTTTGTCATCCTGGCGGGGATCGGAAGCGGCTCCTTTGGGGATGTGTATCTGGTGAGGTGGCACGGCGCCGCCGTCAGGCGACACGTCGCCATGAAGGTGCTCTCCAAGGAGAAAATTGTGGGGCGGAAACAGGTCAGTTGCTGGTGGTGGTGGTGGTGGGCGGCGAACTTAATACCCCATACCAAAAAATATTCGGCAACGAAAAAAAAAAAAAACTCGAGGAGAGTCCTCAGCCGCATAAATAATAAAATCGAACCTCTCCCAGTCGAATTTTAAGGGACCAGCGAAAAAAAAATCGAGTTGGAAAAAGTTTGAGATAGAATAACAAAACACTGTTCTTATTGTGAAAAATAAAGAAGAATTGCAGGAAACTTTGAATGATGATATTCTGGGCCTTAAATTGCTTCTTAAATGAGTTGACCAAACACTGAACTTAGAGGCAAGGGTCCATTTGCTCAATTTATCTTTCACATTCTTTAAAAGCATATAAAATTATATCAATCTTCATTGCTTTTCATCTGACTTCCACAATTTTGAAGGCGATGTAAAAATCGTGAGAACTTTATGGACTATCCAAAGCACTAGTCACAATAAATGTGGAGTGAAAAATTATTTGCCACAGAAACACGGTTTTCTGATCTATGACGATTTACGTAAAAGGGTGAAATCGACTAGCCAAAATATTATTGGTAACGATTTGCAAATGCAAATTTATTGGAACTACCTGCAAATTCATATAAAAAAAATGATGCGTCATGATGATATTTTTTCCACAGTGATGGAGTGTGACTTGAATACTGTCTTCTTCAGTTTTCTATGGGAGTCTTAAAAATTGTATTGGAAATATCGAATAACAGTCAATTAATTTATTCAATTTCCATCCATCTCACGTGACTGTGATTCAGAATTTTCACGAATTGACAAAGCTCATAAAGCAAACCTTAAAAAAAAGAAAGGCTCAGAACTTGAAGCGACACCTACATGATTGCAAAGAAAACTGTGGAGTATTGGGCATCCGACGTTGGCTGGGAAAAACACAGGACAGTAAAATGATGCATCAAACAACAAATCTGATTTACTTCAAGGATTGCGGCATTGTTTTAGACATGCATTGCAAAGGACTCGTTGACAAATTTATTTTTTTGAAGAAGTTTGAAATTTCAATAATGCTTAATTTGGGACAAGGTCTTCACGTTACTTCATTACATTAAAGAAAATTAAACGATTCATCCACGGTGTTTTCGTCAACACAGGCACTTGATTTATGTACGAGTCACCCACTGTGCTGTATCAAACTGGATTATTTTTCGTGCTCATTTTTCTTTCGATTTGTTCCCTGTCCAACCTCAAAAAAAGGTTCGTCACGCGATCGAGGAAAAGCGGTTAACGGCAGCCATGTCGTACCCATTCGTCATGACATTGCATGCCACGTTCCAAGATAATGCCAATTTGTTCATGGTGATGCCGTACATGCCCTGCGGCGATCTTTTTGCCTACCTGTGTTCACGCACAGACATGGAGGCCAACACTGCCGTGTTCCTCACTGCCCAGGTTATTCTGGGCATCGAGTACTTGCACAACAACGACATTGTCTACAGGTCTGCGCCTTGAAAAAAAAAAAAAACTCACCATTGTTATTCAAAAAGAAAAAAAAAGAATTGTACCCAGTAGATGCTATTCATTGTTATGCATGTGAAAAAAATTTTGAACTACATCAACTGCTTAAAATTTAAGACGCATTTATTTGCGTAAAACTCGCATAGAAAATGAAAAGTTGCGTCTAACTTTCAATTCAGTCTTGGATTCGCCAGTGAAGAGCAGGTGATAACAGTGGAAAAAGCTCACCGAGTGGAATTTCAAGGGAACAGAAAAAAAAATCAACTTTGGGAGGCTTTCAGTTAAGGAAATACTGTAAGCCTCCTGTTGTGAGAAAGATAGACAAATTTCAGAAAATTGTAAATGGTGATATTTTGAGCCTTAAATTGCTTCTTAAATGAGTTGACAGGATACTAAACTTGGAGGCAGGGGTTCATTTGCCCAATTAATCTTTCACTTCCCTTCAAAACGCATCAAATTAATTTTTATTGCTTCTCATTTTCCTGTGTCAAGAAAATAATAGCCAAAAGGCCGCAGAAAATTTGAGTTATGGATGTTTGAAAGGAAAAGCTTTTGAGTTAGAAAGGCTGTTAATGCATTCTTTCCAAGGAATTCAGAGGGGATGTAAAAAAAAGTCAATTTGAGAAGGTTTGAGTTATCAAGATTCCATCGCAATTGCCTCTGGGGCGATATTTCAAATGAAAATTATGATTAAATATTGATTAGACAAATGCAATTTTTAAATTTAGAGGAACAGTGGATGCATCAAATAATTTTAATCCCTCAATTTTTTAGGCTTTGAAGATGGTCTTGTGCAGCACATTATAATCGAAGGCATCTTATGCAGTATTTGAATAAATACGATATATTGAAATAAAATGCACTAATGAATGCATCGTAAATAAACATCGGGGTTAACCCAGAGCCAGAAAGATCAGTCAATTTTTGCAATGATTGATGCTTCCTCCTAAATTCCGAGCCATTTCTTGGCGGTGTTTTGAATACTGCCAATAATTTTTTAACTGGAATAAATTGGATAAATTGCGCATGAACAATCAAGAGCAAGACCTGAGAGGCACGAGACGTACTGTATATTAACGCAGTATCATTAAAATAAAATACAAAGATCTAAATTCATGAAAATTTATAATTCCCCATGAAAATTAGATTACCTTTTAATCGCCTCTCAGCCAAAAGGGAAAAATATTACGACGTTTACCTTGTCGTAATTATTTATCTACGAATTATAAGCTATAGCCACCGAAATAAAATAAAAATAAGTTCATACTTCAGGTTCAAAAATTTACGGAATACATATTCGCAATTCCTCGATTCGTCTCGAGAAAATGCGATGTATATTCTCTTGTGCCTCAGTTCAAAAAATCTTCACGTCGAATTTCGCACTTGATTTTTCGGACGCTCGTTAGTTTTTATCATGCAAATTGGATTTCGCAACAGGCTATTCCATTCACGGATCAAGGAGAAATCACGATTTCTAGCTTTTATCGCTTAGTTCAGAAAATCTTCCCGTCGAATTCGGTACTTTATTTCCTTGGATGATGGAAGTTTTTTTTAAATTTTTTAAATCCAATGAACAGGATTTCGCAACAGGCGACTCTTATTTACATTTCAAGCTAGAACAGGGTATTGTGAAGTTCAATTTTTTTTATCTTATTTATTCTTCGTCCGAAAGAAGAATACTTCCGCAATAAGCTAAATTCAGAAATCAAAAAATGCTCCCAATAATTCAAGACAAAAAATTGCTTTCAAAAACTTCATCTTATAAAAACATCATCGTTTTTGTAGAGCGAGGCATCCTTCCACAAGAACTGCATTTGTTTCGGCCGAATGCCCTTTTTTCTCATTTATTCAAATTATAAAAGAAGCAGGAATTGTGGAACAAGCTTCAAGATTGCGGAACAATTTGAAATTTCATCTGAATTAAATGATCCTTTCACTACTGAACAGCATTTTTCACAACGGAAAATTTTCCAAAAATTGTACTTGATCATTCAACTGAAATTGACGGAGTCTCGCATTATTTTGAAATTATCTGCCCATCCATTCAAATTACGTACAGCTCATCAAACCCACATCTTCTTACAGCCACTGAATGTAACTTCAATGCGGGAAATTTAAATCATCAGGGAGAGGATTTAAATAAAGCGCGAGAAAATTTTTGAAACATAGTGTGAGACAATATTTCAGTTGCGCTTGAGAGAAAAAAAATTTACGCTGCCTCAATTTTTATCTTATTTAGATTTTTGAATTTTTTCTATGAATGTATAAAAACGATGATTTGAATATCGCTGAAACTTTTTCCCGAATTTCCCGAAGAGATCTCAAACCGGAAAACATCATGATGGACACGAAAGGCTATCTGAAAATCGCAGACTTCGGCTTTGCCAAACTAGTGCATCTCAGGGCGTGGACATTTTGCGGCACGCCGGAATACATCGCTCCCGGTAATTAATTGCAGCATTGCAAATAACTCGCGACCAACGCTGAAAAAATGACCTAGAACTCCTTAGAAATCATCAAAAATGTTGGATACTGGAAACCGATTGACTGGTGGGCTGTCGGGATTCTCATTTATGAACTGCTCGTCGGTCGGTCCCCTTTTCACGCCAAAAGCGACGCGGAAATCTTTGAGAAAATCCTGGAATGCAAACCCGATTACCCTGAAAATCTGTCTCCAGCTTCACGGTAATTTTATCTACAGTTTCCATTCCGGAATTATTTTGAAAAAATTATAGCAGAATAAAATATTCAATTTTTTTCATACACGTAACACTCGACCGCCAGATTATAAAAAAAAATAACAAGAGTCTCTTGAAATAAATGAAAATATTAAAATGAAGGCGCCAGCCAACATTTCTACCAAAGCAATGTATCATTTCGAACAAAGCTTTCAGTTTGTTACATTTATCAATTTTTAATTTGCGTTCTCAATGGCAGAAATGCTTCCAGCAACGAAAGAAAATTTTCAAAGCACATTTATTCACGCGTTACCAGACTAGCAAAAAATGAATAATGCATTGAGTCATGAACATATAATCATGCAATTTTGGTCAATGTGTGGGAAAAACACGAAAAATCTCATCATCTTGAGAACCATCACGTGTTCTGAGTCTGCGAGAGGAAATCGTGAAAATTCAATTTCAGGACACGTGACTGTATTACTGTCAGCTGGAAAAAATAACATTTAATTTAATTTTCAAAGTGTCGAACAGTCGTTTTTTTTAGATTATGTCGGAATTATCCTTTCAATGCAGAACCTTTTTTTTCTGCGACGAAAATTTTCCGATCACAATCTTCGTGACTCCAAAATACAGTATTTTCTTTCTTGCGGTTTAGTTAAATTCCTGTTCCACACGGAATCTTCAAACTTTTCTTGGCGGAGAAGCAAAACGTTCGAACAAGAGTAGCTGGAAGTTTTCGTTTTAACGTTTGAACTTATGCTAAATTCATCACGGGAAATATATTTTTCAGCATTTTCAATCAAGTTTTTCTGTAGGTAGCACTTCGAGAGGTGGATGTTAAATTTTTTTCCAACATTTTACAAATATTTGAAATATCCTTGAACGCTACGATTCCGGCGATACCGAAAGTTCGAAGCGCCTTCGCGCATTTTTGTAAATGAATCGCCGCAGGATTCACTTTTAAAATAATGCATTTTTGCGCTAAAAAAATTTTGCGAATAAATTTGCGGGGAAAATCATTTTTCGTCCTCAGAGACTTGATGCAGAATTTGATTGTCCTTGACCCTACTCGAAGATACGGCAGCCTCTTCAACGGCGTCATGGACATCAAATGCCACCCTTGGTTTTACCCGTACGATTGGATTCCGTTGCTCAACCAGGTAAAAAAAAAATATATGACATACAGTTTAATTAATTTCGATTTGCAGTAATTATACGCATGCTTCCTTTTTCTTCAACAGAATGTCGAGGCGCCGTTCACCATGCCCAAGAAAAAACTGCCGCGTTCAGATTCGGAAACTTTGAAAATTCCTAAAAGTGATACTATGCTTTACGCCGACGAATTCGTCGATTTTTGAATTTTGCTATGCAAAGATTTTCTTTGTATCTTCTGAATGATATGCTTTTCTGAAACGCCAAATTGATTTCTGGCATCAGTTCCGTGCGATGGAACAGAGACTTCCGATAAATCTGATATTTTTTTTCCACACAAGACGAACGAATTACAGCATCATGAAAAAAATGAAAACACGATTCACTATTTTTAATGCCGGAAACTACCAATAACACGATTCCCTCAAATGGAAAAAATATATGGTAAATCGTAATGATTTTAAGCTGAGTCACTAAAGGAACCTCGAAAGAAGCTTCATTCACGGGATATTTAAATACATTAGTATGACTATCACGCAAATCTTGACGGAATAACCTCAAAGATAAGCAGGCATTTGCTTTCTCAAGAGGTTCGAAGGGTTCTTGTAAATTTTACCCTGGTTAGGCGCGTTTTTAATTGATTCGCAAGTTGACAGGTAGCACTTATCCAAAATTGAGAGTCATATTCCAGGGTTGTCTCAGACTTACAAATCAAAATATTTACGACTTTTCTTTGTAAAAAAGATAGCCGAGAGAAAGGAAAAATCGCCTCTGGGTTCCTTGTGTCAAGATATAGGCTTTATGGTACCAGTAATGGCATACGAACGTTTAACGGGTAATTGATGGAATGGTTTAGATAAAATGGGGATTCAATTTCAGTTCGCTTTTCTACTCCAAAAAAGGATTGTTAGACTTCCCGAAATATAAGAAGTACTAATTTTAACCAGTGGTCAAGTTCTCGCACTTTTATCCAATTTTTTTGCCTCGGATTTAAAATGCCCTCAGACGAAGTGACGCTTTCTACACCCAGTTATTTATTTTTTGGACACCCGAGGTTTTCGCCAAAAAGGCTTCTAAAAATTGGGATTTCATCAAGATTAAACCTTAGTGTAGTATTCCAGAAATTTATATTGTTGGAGTTCAGGGAAATCGTGTTCCAATCTGTTTGAAAGAACACTGAAAACATTTTCGCATTTGAAGCGAAGTCTTAAAGAAGAGAAAATGTGAAAAAAATTTTCAGCATCGTCTCCTAACAAAGACGATTTTTGATCGTTTTCATTTCACTTACTTTTTTTTCAACTTCAGAGGTCACGTGACTTATTTCTGCAAGCATGTCAACGTTACCTGGATTTAATTCAATAAGTTTTTTAAACTCATCAAACAAAAAAATGGCGAAAGTTGAAATGACAATTTGCGGAACTTTTGAAAATCCCCTTTCGTTCGAGTATAAATGGAGCTTCAGTAATCTGATTTGAGAGTTCCATCGACATACACCCAACGAAAAAAATAAAATACGAAAATGTCAAGGTTGCCATCTATCCTTTTAAACTGCATGATGCGAGTTCTGATCCCGTCACATCCGCCACGGGGCACGATGTTCGAATTAACGAGAGCAATCCAGCACACAAACACACACCCACACAGTTTTAAACATTAAAATAAAAAATGAATAAAATACAGAGACGGATAACATATCATCAACACGTAATGGCCCTTGCCCATGTGTCTTCTCGTCTTTTTTTGTTTGAGCGTGACGCAACCATCAGCCCAAGATCAGGGACTCCTCGACTCAATCACGACTATTTCTTCTCTTCTCTTTTCTCTGAATACCATTCGAGTTTATATTTAATCGCCATGAGATACCCTTGAAAAGCCTGTTGAATCCCCTTTTGCACGCCTTCCGGGAGAAAAAAAAAAAGATGCGTTTTTTAAAAAGTGAAATTGAGTCAAATGCCTCGGGGACGGCTTGAATGCAAGAAATAAATCTGGAGATTCATGTTCAACTCTACGGAACGTCATTCTGGAGAATTTATCTGACACCTCATTCCCTGGTCTTTCTTATTCATATAATTTGACATTAAAACGGGTTTTCCCGATAGCATGCTCTTTCAAAATTTCCAGTCGCGGTCTCGCAGGTCAAGTTAAAATGGGGCGAGAAGAACGGAATTAAATGAAAGGGGAAATTATTTGCATAAATTATATTTATTTGCGGGATATTTTTGGTCTTCCGTTCTGCATTCTTTTTCATGAATTGATTGTAAACTTGGAGCGAAAATGGGGCGAGAAGAACGGAATTAAATGAAAGGGGAAATTATTTGCATAAATTATATTTATTTGCGGGATATTTTTGGTCTTCCGTTCTGCATTCTTTTTCATGAATTGATTGTAAACTTGGAGCGTAAGAAAAATAATAGCGAGCCTCGTGGAAAACACTTGAAAAGTCTCCATTCATTAGAAAGCGTATTCTTTTCCACGCGTCATTCGAATTTTTGCGTGAAAGTGCTTCTCATTTAAAACAGGCGCATAATTTGGAAAGGATTACAGAAAACCTTGCGGAATTTACGAGCATTTTAAAATAATCTAATTAACGTCAACTTATTACAGTACAGTATATCGTACTAATCCCACCCAGATAGCAATGCAACTTATACTGTAACATTATTCACGGGCACGCAAAAACTATATAAACTTCCGGCAACTGAGTGCAAATTTTATAAAAGCGAGTTTCTCCGAAATAATGTTGCCACCAACAGTTTTCTGCGCATGGAGTTTTATATTTTCTGGTCTAAAATACGGGACCGGACATCGCTTCAATGAAGAAGACGTTTATGTACAACGAATACCCTGTAAAACTGTCTTGATTTATTTTTGTGGTAATGTTGTTCCGAAATTCCATATTCGTTTACTTCATTGATTTTGACTTTCAGTGAAATTTGCCCGTTTTCCTCATTGCAATGGATTTTTAACACAAAAAGCTAATCGCACGCAAAATATGCAACCAGGTTTTGAGCAAAATAAACTTTTTGAACACCTTGTACCAATGCTTAACCTTAAAGGCCTTTGTACCAACAATCTGGGATGCGTTTCAAGGAAGAAGACTTACAAGGGTCAGTTCATAAGTTTTCATATGAATGA